GGTTGTAGAGAAACCCCTCACAGAGAAGAAGCGGTTTCCATAATAATCCCGCAGGCAGGCCACTTCCAAGGGCCGCCTCCATCCGTTCGGCTATCTGCCCATCTCATCCACCTGGACAGGTTTTTAGTGCTCAAGGTCCGGAGAGAAGAAACCACGGCGGTGTTCTCACACTTTCATCTGTGAAAACGGGATAATGGAATGTGAAGGACCGTCATGGGAGGTAACCGGAAAGTTGGTGAAATACCCATAAACCCCAAGGGCTGGCCAGCAGAGATAACTTTTCCTGCCGCCAAGGTTTCAGGTTTGGATGCGCTCTTGTATTCCTGAGCGTTAATCATCTGTGTTACATGTACATCTCAGCCACAGCGCAGACGGGCTGCAGCGAGAGGCTGGCGGGGGCGGGGCCGGGAGAAGCAGGACAGAAACACGGTGAATTCTCCCCGCCTGCCTGCGAGAAAGCGAGGCGATGCTAATCCCGCAGTAGTGGATCTCTCTCATCCCCTGAAACGGAGGCTGACATTTCCACTCATTCATTCAGTGCCTCAGACTCCCTGTCAAGTCTCTTTCTCTCCCAGTTGCCAAGCAACAAAAACAGCAAGCTCTGTGCATAAGCATCAGGCAATGACTGCTGTCAAACGTCTCTCCTGTCTTAGGAAGGGGAGCCTAACGGTCCTTTTCTAAGAGAAGCTGGCGACAAGAACCTGCCCGCCGGGAAACAGGAAGCTGTGGTTTGGTGGTCTTGTGTGTGGCTTGGTGGTCTTGCTGTCGGAACTTCAGGATTGGGCTGCATTGACGTAAACACCCCTGGACACTCCTGAAGTTAAAATGTGCCCCCCAACGCTTGCCCATCCGGTCTTCTGGAACATCTGCGTGTCATTAACGCTTGTCCCATGTCTCGTGAAGCCAGCTCTGTTCAGTGGAGTTAGTATTTCAAAGGGGACGGTGACAGGATGGCTCTTCTGCACTTCTCAGCCGCTGCTGAAATCTCTTTAATCAGAGGCCTGGGTTTTTCTGGCCAGACCCGGCCCACAGGAGGAAGGAAGACGGGAACCACATTGCGGTGCTTTGTGAGACTGACCGAGGCTGGTCCAGGAGAGCAGTGGAAGGGGACCCACGCTCACCTGTTATGGATGGAGGAGGACACGACCTGTCTTCCGTCATCGGGAACCTCTCCCTGTTCCCACCGTGGACAAGAGGCCCTCCCCTCCTCTGCGATTCCTCCTCCACTGTTTTAATGACTCCGCGCGAGTTCTGTTTACAGCCCCATTCACCTCTGCAACGTGTACGGCCCTGAGAGCCGTTCCCAGCGAGGGGTACAGCCCTACCAGGCTATTCTACACCGAGCTGTTCCTCATCCCCATAGCGTTCCTTCTCGTCCGAGGCTCAGCAATCCTTTGAGAGAATCTGAGAGAGTCGAGTCTAGTTTCATGTTCTTTTTTCTGTTTGTTTCACCTCCCTGCCCCTCTCCCCCGGCACTCACCCCACCCCACGCCAAGCCTCCACTATGCTGTTGTCTGTGTTCATGGTTCTTTTTCTCACTGGGGTGTTTTTTTTTTTTTTTTACTTTGTTTTCTTTCTAATCTCAGTTCCATGGGAATATGTATTTTGAGTTCCACACAAAAATGCTAACGAGAGCTCCTTTTCCATTTTTAAACTGTAAAATAAACAGATGAGTTCCTGCATAGTTGATAGGATTAGGAGCTCATAAAGCAGCTCCACATTTATCACTGCATTTGATGAGTTGGTGGAGTGGGTGTTATTATTATCATACCCAGTCTACAGAGGAGAAAACTGAGGCCTGCACAAGGTAAAATACTTGCTCCGGGCCGAGCAAGTATTTTACTTGCTAATAATTGGGAGCTAATATCTCTGCTTCTGCCTTCAAACTGCACACTTTCCCCATGATTTGCCCTCCCTGGAGCTGACTTCCCAAGAGCTCTGGGTTCTCCAGGGTGGTTTAGGGTTTAGTTCTCAGTCCATCACTGGACACTCAGGAATATTAACCCCACCTTTACCTTCCATCACCAAATCTTATTGCTGGATTGTGTTCTATGTAAACTGACTTATACTAACGCTTGAAAATAACTAACTAAAAGTTTTATTTTGTCCATGCTAGTTCCAGTAATCCTTTCATACTCATTTGAGAATTACATCTACAATTTTATAAATCAGTTTGGCTTGGTACCCTAGTGTTTCATATGAGAAGTAATGAAATAGTGACTAAGTCCTATTCTTAGCTTCTCTATGATTTTCCAATGTTGAATTTCATTAAAAAAAAAATATGTCATTGAGAAAAGAGCTGTAAAAGTGAGTATGCCCAAAATATCAGATCCCTCATTAGCCCAAATATTTGGTTCTGGTATCTCTCCTTAACAAAATGACACGCGAGGATTCCTTCCTTCCTTTCTTCCTTCCCTCCTTCCCTCCTTCCCTCCCAGGTTTTTCTTTAAATTTTTTGTCATAGTGGGATATTAGTTACACACCAAAAGACATCACTTGTTAGCATAAAACCTACGTGAGAACAACATGCTGCCTTTTTGACAGAATCACCTAGGTAACCCTCGTTTCTGTTTCTAGAAGCAATTCAGACAGAACTTGCTTTACTTAATAGCAAAGAGAGGACTGAAATGAGATGACACTGCCATTAAGCTGTATCTCCATTTTCAGAAAGGCTTGCGATTTGGCAAATAGCGCGAGTGAGAAACGCCTCTCTAAAGAACTTAGCTATGCAAGCAGGCATGTCCGTTCACTTGTTACCCACTCATCTCTGCTTCTAACTGGGGCCACCTGGGTGGAAGGCCCAGCTCCTGCCCCGGGGCACAGCACCTTCCTGGAGGAGACAGACAGCGAACAATCACAGCGCGGAGTGCTGTCTGCAGGTGGAATGCAGAAACGCCACGGAAGCAAAGGGAAGGACAGAGGCCAGGTAATTCAGGTGAGGCAGAAGGAAGCAGAAGGAAGGAGAAAGGAGATATAGGGAAGGAAGGGGAGAGAGGGGTGAGCCTGTGAGGATACCAAGAGAGAAAACTGCCTTTGCTAGGTCCTGGAGGTCAGGAGGTCACGCAGGAGACTGGTCACCCACATTACACCGAGGAGACTGAACTCTGACCCCAACAATACTTCCCACTTAAATCCTTACAGTTTCCATCCAATGATATTAAGGTATTTTAAAATAAAACAGTCACAGAGTATCGATTATAAATGCCAGCTGTCTTGGATATTAAACCTTGCATTATTAGTTTCTTCTTTGAATTAAAAGCTGCCTAAGGACAGAAATTATTTCCTCATCAAACCACCTTCTCCTTTGCAACTCATCCGACAGTGGGCCCACTGGGGATAACGGATGGGCTCATTCCACTGCAAGGCCTTTACTGAGAATTTCATCTCCCACCACACTCAACCATACTTTGTGTAAGAACTCGACATGGGTCTCTCAGTTCTCACAAAGCTTAGACTTTAGGACTTGAGACATCACAGTTGTTATTGTTCTTAATTTTCAGAACTAAAATGTCACTGCTCTGCGTGACAGATTGAGAAACAAAGTAATCATAAAACGGCCATAAAAGCTAATAACGAAAGGAAACAAACGTACTGAAAATAAATCAATGTAAAATTATAAATGATCAGAATCTTCAGTTGTTTATTATGATTTATTTTATCGAGCCGAGAAATCTATTAGCCTTTTGACCCCGGAAGATGGGATTCACAAATCGAGCTAGAGGGGCTCTGCAGCCCTTGTCACGTGGATCGATAGATAATATTTACAAATTAAAGATCACCCTCTTTCAAAGTAACGCCAGCCCTCCAGTCAGCTTCTGAAGTGGGACGGCAGGAACACCCCCGGCTGCTCGTCCTTCTGTGCGTCTGTGCCATGGGGCACGACAGGAAGGTAACGGGTGCCGAAAGCCATGCACGCGTGTTTACACCGAGCCTGGGAGGCGCGTGCACAGACCCGCCATCCTCCCCTTGCTGGCTCGATGCCACCTTTGTTCTGAGCAAGACTCTCTCTGGCTGCCGAGAGGACCATCCTGGTCTGCCCAGTGGTTGTAATTTGCAGGGAATCGATTGCTGAGATGCTGATGTGTAAAGCACTTTTTCTCCCCGCAGCCCGCCTGCAGAACCCGCTCCGCCCACCGGTCAGCAGACCTTAGGAAAAGGGGGGTCTTCGGTCAGCACTTGGTGCTGGGCCCAGTGTTTCAAACTGGGGGCACTATTGTCTCCCTTGAATAAAGGACGGTTGGTCAGGGGGACTCTGAAGCCGTGGCCCACAAGCAAACACGTGGAGCATGTTACGGAATACAGTGGGCAAACACGTGGAGCATGTTACGGAATACAATGGGCAAACACGTGGAGCAAGTTACGGAATACAGTGGGTAAAAGACACACATCCACGTTTAAGGGAACACATCCAACTCCAAAGAATGGTATGTTGGTACAAGTTGGGTTTGACCATGTCCGCCGAGATTTGGGGCGACAAGTGTGTTCTGACTTTGAGGTTCACCTCAAGCCTCTGTGACCTCACCAAACAGGAAACCCACTGATTGTGAAGATTTGGAAAACATGTCGCGTAGCCACCGACAGAGCTTTCCGCTGAGCCAGCCTGAGCTTTTAGGAAACCTCACTCCGAGTCATGCTTCTACTTGCAGCCTTCCAACAGCTGCCTCTGCCCTTTGAATAAAGCCCTTCCCGTCTGTGTCTCAGGCCCTGAACTCAGGGAAGCCTGCGGGGGCCTTCTAAGAATACCGCCTTAGAATTCACCAAATGAAGTACATCCAGTTACAAAGGAAACCCCTCCTGCTGCAGTAAAGTTAAATGAGAAAGATGAATTAATATGCTTACCAAAAATTCAGTAAATGGGACTTAAGATTCTGTTGGTTTCCTAGTGTGTTGAACTTATTAAATATTTCCCCCAAACCATTTTTCCCTTCCTCCATTGCAGTTGAAGTTGCACCAGCTAGAGACTACATAACCAGTGTGAAACTTCTGCAACTTGATCTTACCTTCTCCTTGACATTCACATGAGGATTGAGTTCAGCCATCTTGGTTCTATTTGAATGAGTCCTATAAAGAAAGGGAAAAAAAGATTAACTTGAAAGTTTTAAAATTGATTTCCCAATGTGATACTTTTATGCTTTCTTCCAACCTAGTAAACAACTTCACTGACATAATCATAAATACCATTTTGGAATGTGAAAATACTTTCCAGCAAAGCACTTGTCTTATATATATTCTAAAAGCATGTTACGATAACTCTAGCAGACAACGCACAATATTTTATTCATGCCGTATTGACATGAAAAATGACAAAGATGGGTGGCTATATGCCCAAACTGAGTTTTCTCTTGTTATGCAAAAGAAAGGTGGTCAGAACAGTGAGAAGAGGAAACAAGTACCTACATTAACTATGCACTGTCATTACAACCCTTACTGCCCCAAAGCTTTTTATCAGAGTACGGGTAATATAACAAACATTTACCGAGTCTTTCCTGCATGTATTTACCTCATGCACTCGAGGAAGAAACAGGAGAAATGATTCCAGATTTAAATATAATAAATGCTGCCTAGAATAGATTTAAAACTTGCTTTTTTCACTTACCAACGTATCATGAACATCCATACCTTTACCATATTTTAAAATATATATATATTTTTTATTCATTTCAGAGAGGGAAAGAGAGAAACATCAATGATGAGAGAGAATCATTGATGGGCTGCCTCCTGTATGCCTTCCACTGGGGATCGTGCCTGCAACCCAAGCATGTGCTCTTGGCCGGAATCAAACCTGGGACCCTTCAGTCTTCAGGTCGACACTCTACCCCCTGAGCCAAACTGGCTAGGACTACTATTGAGTTTCAAATGGACCCTTACAACTGTCCATAATCTTTCTGTTTCCCTAACACTTAGATTCCTGCCTTGAGCGTCCAATCTGTTCTGGGAAGTGGCCTGTGCTAAGACTATTCTAACACTGATGTCGGGTGTTCTCTTCTCTTCTCATCTGCTCTAAGTTGTTCACTGTTATTATGGAAGCTAGATCTTAAGTCTTGAACAGTTTCAATCTCTTTTTGAAACAGAATATAAATGACTTAAAATGAGTGAACATATTGGTTCAGATTAGCAGCTAGACAGGCTAAAATATCAATATACCACCTACTTGCATATTTATATATGCTTTTTGTAAATCAAGAACCACTGAAACGCTTTCCTACATCCTTTTTGACTTTTGACAAAGAGTGTATCTAGAGTTGGTTACGTTTTAGGGATGACTTGCAAAAATTCTTGGATTTCTCCCTATTCCTTCCCTCCTTTTTAATCCTCACCAGAGGACAGACATATTTATTGATTTTAGAGAGCAGAAAGGAGAGAAACATCCATGTAAAAGAGAAACATCAATAAGTTGCACCCCACCCGCAGACTGAACCCACAACCTGGGCATGTACACAGACCAGGGCCTCATAATTTTCTTCTAAAACTAGATCTTAAACAAACTATAAATTCCAACTCATTACCTCTTGTTGATTTTAGGATGAAAGCTTCGCAATACATAATTCTAACACTAGTAACACTCAAATAGGAATCCTTACAGGTAGTATACTATTGTATATTACCAACTATTACAAGCAGTAAGATTTTCTTTTTATAATGTTCCACACGATCGAGCCACTGACAGACACACACGTGGGCACGGGGGCAGGAGAGACCTGCATGCCCGGTTCGCATTCAGGAAGCTCCTTCCCATACGCTCTGCTGAGGGTGCCCGTCCCGTCACACACCCCTCCCATGCAAACAGCTCCCGCATGGCGCATCTCATATCCTCCGACCTGACATATGGGAGGAAGTAAATAACACGAGCTGGCAAGGAATAGTGGAATTTCATCCTCATTTATTCCTGCCCCTGGGAGTTACTAGGAAAAGTCAACAGGATTATTTTCTGATTATCTGTGCCAGTGAGCCGAGGGAGGCACAGGGACAAATAACCAGGTGTTTCTGTGTATGAGCCACACATGAAAGGCGAAACCTCTGGTCAGTCATCACACGGCCCACAAGCCGGCCTCCAGCCGCGCTGTGTGATGACGTCTGGGTGGTTGCTTTTCTTCTTCACGTGCGAGTTGAGCATCATGTATACTAGTACGCTTTAGATTTTGGGTGTCTTTCTGTGTAGTGTATGTGGGTGTGAAAGAATAGAGATGGGGGAGGAAAGGAGAGAGGGATGGGAGGAGGAAGGGAGCAAATGGAAGAGAGGTACCGATGAACTACAAAGGTTCGAAGGTGGTGGCTGGATTTGGCGCTATCTCTTAGGATGGATCTGTGAGCCACATTCCGCTCATTAGACTGGACTGGCTAAATCTCCTGGAGACATCGAATCTTGCCGTTATCGGTCTGTGGAAACCGAGAGAAGTTTTGTGGTTTTCGGTCTATTTGTTTTTTGCTTTGATGTCTAGGGTTTGGGTGTGCAGCGTTTTCTAAAGCCAGAGTGTTTTAATCCACAGAGGAATCCGGGAGGAATTTCTGGGATCTGAGGAAGTGGAGGGTCTGAATGGTGAGCTATAGTCATAGGGCAAGACAAAATAATATACGTATGTATACATATGTTGTTCATAGGAATATACATATATTCCCTTGGCTATTCTCTTTCTCTTTAACCTCAAAGTCTGACTCAGGGAAAGTTCTTTTTTTGGCACTGATACCAGTAGGATTAATTACATTATTTTTTTGTGCATGGAAGGAAAATGCTGGCTATGAGAGTAGGGTGAGGCTATTACAGGGGAGATAAGATAAAAAATAATTACAGGGAGCTGTTCTCTGCTCATTTTACTCCCTGAAATGTTCTTCTCCCGAGTGGAGGACAGCTTCCCCACCTCCCCGTGACCTCCAAAGCCCTCTGCGGTCCAGCTTCCTGCAGGCGGGGACACAGAGGCCTGGGAAATGCGCTCCAGCTGTGGACACGATTTGAAGGATTTCAAAGTAAACAAAGCATATGTTGGATTTGCCTTAAAGAATTGGGATTATAAGTGATGGGACAGTCCAATTGGGGACAGGACAAATGCTAGGGAAACCACGGCACAGGCGAGGCTGGTCTGCCATGTGCCGAAGGGGCTCGCTGGGGTCTGTGGCCCTGTGTGGGCGCCAGCCCCTCAAGAATACTCCGAAGCGCCCCTCACACCGGCACAGCACTGCGTGCTCCTTCTGTCTCCTGAGCCTCTCCTCGTGACAATGAACCTGTGTGTGAACCGTGCTGTGCCTCAACTCTTGGGTTTCTCTTGTCTACTATGAGCTATATCGGGATAGTCAGATCAACTCCGTCTGAATCTTAGCTGTTAGACAGTGAAGGCACTCTGCCTCTAGGAAATACATTGTCACCCCTTCCCACCTGACAGGCCCCAAGTTCAGCAACTTGAAAGCCCAGTCCTCAGGCGCAGAAACCTGTTAACCAGAGAAACCTGCGGTTCGGGCCCAACAGACTCCCGTTTCCCTCCCCCCAATGCTTGGTCGCCACAGGTGACAGCGTCACTCCTGGACGTGCGCGATGCCCACATCCCAGCAGAGCTCGATGGCAAGAGCTGCGCACCCACAAGAAGGGACTTTTGGCTTCTTGGGAAAGAACGTGGTTTCTCATTCCCATTGCCGCTTAAAACTGTTCTTGGAACCAACCAGTTACTGAGGCCCGACTATTCAAATCAGTGATACATGTTCCAGGCATATAAAAAAAATCAATATACAATTAAATAACCAGAAATGTAAGTCCTGATACTCATGCAACATTTCAGTAGCTTAGGTATTATTTGAAATATTTCCCCTCTAAATTATATTTTATTTTTCAGTAATAACATTACCAACATATATAGCTGTCATCTAAGATAGATATATATATACACATATATATATGTATATATGTGTGTATGTGTATATATATATATATATATATATATATCCTAGAGAAAAATAAAGATCAAGAAAATTGTTGGCTGAAATTTTATTTATGAAATAACAAATTAATCTCTTCTCTCTAGATATATATCTTCCATCATCAAAAACTTATTAGGAAAGAAAAATCTATTACAAAGAAAAGAATTTCACCATTTATCACCGATATATCATCTATACACTCCTCCAGTGGAAAATTAATACACCACAAATATGGGTGCCACCAATCACTTCATGCTTAAAGTTATGCAAACTGAGCTACTTGCTACGCAAAGATCTTACTTAATATGCATTAATGCCAGTCATAAAATCTATTAGTCTATGACAGAGACAAATATTCTTTATAAAAACTAAAACTGAATAATACCAATTCTGGTGAATATGTTTGTTTCAGCATTTCTAATGAAGACAATTCAGTGAAGGGTTATATATTTGACAATCTGATTAACAGCTTAAAAAAAATATATATATATATATATAAATTGATATTTCTCATGCAATCATTTAAATATAAAGAAGTTAAAACAATGTGCTGAAATGCCAAATTGCTTGATGACTTCCCAATGGACTGTTTTTCCTCGTGTTTTATTATGCTGGTAGTGACAAAGTTTCACTTTTATTTCCCTGGAACCTCTGACTGCTCTTAGATTCACTTTCGAGTTCCCAGGCATTACGTCACTTTTCTTTTCATTGAATTGTGAAACCAGAGGAAATGCACAAGAATACATCTTAAAATAATGATTTAAAATAACAATTGCCACACGTATGGAGCACATAATTATAATGTGCCAGGCAACTAGGTAGCAAACCTAGTTGAAAATTTAACTTAAAAAAATAAAAGGTGGGGGTGTTGTCTCCAATGCACTAGGCTATTTCTCTGTGTGGACTAAAGAGACTACATGCTAAACCTGACAGGCTGGGGCGGGAGCGGGGAGGGGGGGGGTGCGGGGGGGGGGGGAGGACTGGGGGAAGGGGCGGGGAGAGGTGGGCAGCCTGGTGAGCCTTACAAACTCGGAGGCCAAAGGTTACCGCATAGGCTGGCCTGGACATAACATTCCTAACCAAAAACCGCCTGTCTTAGGCCTGTAGCTTCCCTGACAAAGACCAAGCTTTACAG